CGGTGGCTTGGGTCAACTATTCTCACCCCTTAAAACAAATATGCATCAAGTAGAACATGATAAATTTGTCTCCTCTCAAAAAACACATGCTTACATAGAGAACTTATTTTTTATAGATATAACCTACTGGATCTGATAATTACCGAAACATTGCAATGCAATTATGAATTTCGATTGGAAAGGAGTGCAAATTGATGAAAATATTTAGCAGTCGGCAAGCTGTTAGCAAATTTTAAAAATTGGACGAATTTAACTTAAACAAGAGCTGTAAAAAGGGCCAGCCTAAAAAGATTAAACAAATGTTTTGCTTCGCGATGCATGACAAATGTATACTCCCTCCAAAATCTGTTTATATTTTGATGAAGTATTTTATAGCCTTCATCGTTGCACCTACTCGATCACATCATGATGATAAATAAAATCTTTTTTGTTTGAATTAAGTTAATTTCCCAAATCTAGAGTAATTTTTCCTTCCGCCTACTTGGCGTTGCCTTTGCGGAGGAAAAAACAAAACTTCGTCTGGTAAGTTGGTCTAAAGAGCTACCGGAAAGATATTTCATTTTGGTGAAGCATTTTTTACACCGAGCTTTGCTTTTTGACACACACGTCGGCTGCTTCCTTCTAGCGTCTTTCAACTGCTACTGTAGGATGAAGGCAGCACAGAAGGAGGAGGAGGAGGACGACGCGGCGGAATAGTCAACAAGTCTGCTTCAGTGGAAACAATGATTGTGCACACAGCAGGAAAAGGAAGGTTGATGTTCCTCAGACTTCGCTCTTCTCAGTTAATGGTTAAGCAGTAGTTCCAATTTTCCCACTTGAAACTGGTCTTTCCGGTGAGTTTGGCGCATTGCGGCAAGATGCATTTTGCATAGTGGGGGAAGGAAATGGAGACAATTACTCACTTGCAGGCATTGTAAAGGGTAAATGTCTGGCAGCACAACAACTTTTTGCATTGTACTCTTTGGACTCTAACGCCCCTGCCTTGTAACATAAAAGGGTTTCTTGAACCTAATGCATTTTCCGTGACACTGTCTCCTTCAATTTCACTGCTCTTGAGATTTCAGGAGCGAATTCAATGGCATGCCTTATAAGTTGGAAATGATGCAATTTAATTGTAGTCGCTAAGAAGTAAAGACGTTTGTTTTGAGACGGTCGCCTCCTCTTGGTGTTGACAGTGGTGACGCTGTCAAGGCTATGACCTGTCTCCTGAAGGTCCTGACTCCAAGGCGAGATCAGAAGCGGACTCCGCATAAGTTCACTATTGAGAACAGACGTGGTAAAATTCGAAACTATCTTCAGCCTCTCCTCCGCAGCAACGCTTACTGCGTTTCGCTGTGTTATTGTTGCAACTCTGTGGAAGAAAGCTCTTCATAGATTCAAGCGAAAATGGGAAGAAAGGCGTATCGAAAGCCTCCTCAACAGCACAGCAAAAGGTCCATTTGTTTTTTCTCCTAATTTCCATCTCAATGGGATGCATTTGCAGTGGCTGGAGGATTGCATGCTGGTGAACAACAAAAAAGACACCTCAAATACGTCACACGTCTCACCTCACCATTGGCTGATCGAGGCAAAAATCGAGAATTCTGCCTTAAATAGGCGGACGGATATGAAATTAAGAGGTGTTTCGGACACAAAAAATGGATCGGAAAAATCCCCAGTTCAACAATAATCTCCAATAGAATGAATGAATATGACTTTTCCTTAAATGTCAAGTCGGGAGAGAAGGTAACAAATTATCACCACTGTTTTTTGCCACGTGCGTCTTCACTTCATGGCTGGAAGGAAATTATCCAACCTCTTTCATCTCACACAATTTATTGTCACAGCAAGAAACAAAAGGTGTTTAGAATAAAAAAATAGCAATAAAGAACAATTCACACAAAAAACGAAAAAAAATGCATATAAATCGTGCCTTCCTGTGTGTTTAAACCGATGCGTTAGTGATGCGCGTTTTTCGAATTTCGCAGTTTTGCGTGTTATTTTGATAGGCGTTGTGTTTTGCTCTGTCAAGCCGAAGCTGTTCGGTCTTTCGCTGTGGCAACAATGGGCGCCCCGTTTCGCCCCTCGGATGAAAATGAAGTCGTTGCGGCAAATGAAGCGAACCTGTGTTGCTCTTGTGTATAAGATTTAACTCAATTTTATCGGATTGTAAATTAATTTCATACAATTCTAGCCTAGCAAATTGTAATAAGGCTTTTCTTATTTCTTCACTTTTAGCATGTGGATCCATTGAAGCGTTTGGCCATTTAAAAAGCACCGCACCGCCAGGCAAAACCCTCTGGGACCTTGGTTGGGCGTTTCATGAGGCTGGCGGAAGTGATTCTTCTTCTTCAAGCACCCACAACCGCCAAAATCGATGTGTCGGGCTTAAGCGACTGTAGCCTCTGGGAAACACAAAAACGCTCGCCACACAGAGAAAGCTTGTAAAAAGAGGCCATGAAAAGTAGACTGGGGGGAGAGAGAGAGAGAGGGAGAGAGCGAGCAAGAGACAGTGAGTGAGAAAGGAAAAGAATAAGTGACAACTTACGTCGCGTTGCTGTAACCGGAAAACTCGCCGCTGTTGTCGCAGAATTTTGCGTCTAAAATTTGAGAAATTTGTTAACTGAAGGAAGGCTTATCTGCACCTACTGGCACTCTTTTCTCAACCCTATCGACCATTTCTGCTCAATGAAGTTCTGATAAGTTGTAACTTCCCCCAAACCAATTTTATTGCACAAAAATGGAGATTTCTTTGAGTAAAGGAAAAAGTATCGTCTTTTTTGAGTGAATTAAAGTTTTTGAATCTACTAAGGGCTCTTTGTTTCTATTTTACTTTGTTAATCCTACGACAATCGGATTTTTTCACATATTTGCAATAACGCCTCTGTTAGCCAACGTGAAGCTAACTTTTAAAGTATTGCGTAATTACTTGACAACGATCACTAAGTAAATAGAATGCGGCTAATATGGCAAGGTTGTTACTTCAGACACGGAGTTAAGATATTGTTTATTTATACTGTGTCGCACACCTGTTTAAAATTACTGCAAAAGAAAGAGCGGTAATTTGGGCATTAAAAAAGTGGAAGTGGGAAGACAGGATTCCACCTTTCCCTTTCTTTAATGCACAATATCAAAAATTTCGTTTCGATTGCAAGTAGTTATTTTTAACAAAACCTGTTGAGTTTAAAAATACTTCCAATGAAATAATTTGCTATTTTCATATTTTCCTTACTAATAAAAGGCTTATTCTGTGTGATAAAAGGCAATGCACATTTATGTCACCAGTTGAGGTTCTAAGAACCTTCCTACAAGTTGAATGAGGCGGTTTTAAGAATGAATTAGTCAAATGGAGGAGTTAAGTTGGAGTAATAGGGAGAGTTAATTATAGGAACTGGGTACATCTCCTTCTACTCTAATAGTACAAACCTCTTTGCTTTTGGGCTCATGAAAATCAAACGCAGCCGCTTTTGGAGGCACACTTTTACTGCCAAACCGTCCATCTGATTTCGCATTTGATAATGTCAGTATTTAGTACCAAGAAATTTTGATTGCCACCATCATTTGGTGAGTGATTAGGGGAGAAGTACGAAAGTCATGGCTACCAAGAGAACAACCCGTTTACAGATACCTTTAGTTTAGTTAGACGTGATTCGAGGGCTTAGTGTGGGTTGAGTTTAGCCACTTATGGGCAATTGCCACGATAATCTTGCAAGTGTGCGAGTCTCATTAGAGGATGCCCACTTAGCAAAGCATCGGAAGTCTTCAAAGTGTACCACCAACTCGTTACACCCATCATTCTGGACCCAAACTTGCTCTCGTCTAGGTAGCACTTAAGCTCAAGTCATTTGGCGTGTCGCCTTGTCGTGCTAAGGAAAATAAGTTTGTCGTCTTGACAACAGAAGCCCATTCTCTCCTCATCGGCGAAGTTTACCTCGTATTCCAGGTGTCACGAGAGGTGATCGCGTCCTACTCTTGAACGTACTTACAAAACGATGGTAAAGAGCTATTGCATCATTTCAGAGGCCTCATGTACTTTAAGAGCATGTACCCATGCGACCTTGTTGTTTTATTCATGCGAGAGTATTCATAGGAAGGGAGATGAGGAGTGGAAAATAAGTTAGACACGCCTCTCTTGTACTGCTCAATTTGTGTTCCATTGAGGAGGAGGGGAACCTCTTTCTCAAGCTTAAATCAATCTCGGGTTTTCGTGCAGTTGAGCCTTTACCAAATTGAAATGAAACTTTTCAAGACAAATGCATATGTCAGAGTGCTCTAAGAGCGTTTGGCGGGACTTGTGAGACCTAGACACGGTTTTTTGTGAATAAGGGCATCGTGGTTGGAGTGACTGAAAGACAAGAAATTCAAAAATGCCGCCTACCAATGCTTGACCAATCAGGAGAGGCCAGGCGAAATGTCAGGGCTGAAGCACTGCTAGATCGTGTGGAAGGCAAAGAGCTCATAAAACTTGCAGAATCTCCAAGGAGGAACCGATTTTTTGATGGTGTGAAGCAGGTTATAGAAGCCTTTTCCTTAGGCTATGATCGCACGCATGCCTATCAACCGTACAGCGCGCCGCCATCCGGGTCACATGGTGCCTTACCTTACTTGATAGAAGTGAATCCCTTTTATCCGCTCTTTTTTGTTGTTCATCTCGTTCATGGATGGGACCTTAGATGTACAGGCATAAACTGGGTCTTTTCGACCCAATTTTGTAGGACTAAGCGATAGCCCTTGCACACCAGTAGAGATATTTTTGTTGTGGTTGCGGAAAACAAAGTAAACCATTTTTATTCCAACTAAGGCAAGAAAGCAAACGGGAGGACGTTAAAGTGGTCGTCTTTTGCACTGAAAAGAATTGGCAAATTTTGGAGGGCTTCAAAGATTGCCTCCTTTTGCCTTATTCAAACCACGAGAAATGGCTAATTGGTTGCGACTTTTCCCCCAAATCAACCCTTCCTCCATTTTTGTGTTGACTTTCGGGTAGCAGAAACAGTGATGTGCAGTAAGCACACAACGTTCTCTTACCTAATAAAGAAGGCGGAGACTATCACAGCAATGAAGAAGAGGGAGCACAACGTCCCGATTCCTATGAGAGCTGTCGAACTGCCCAGACGGTCCACACAGCCTATGCAGGGAGAAAAAGCGAAATTTTCCTATCAACTGAAGACTCTTGTGCTAACTTAAATGGTAGGACTTGTGTCAAATGCACGGGAAAACAAAAGTTAAATCCCTCTTTGCAAGTCTATTTGCAGCATTGGCAATTTTAAATTGGAGGAATAATTGTTGTGTTTACATCGACAGCTCCTCAAAACGGAGGCCTGCAAACCAAAAGACACACACACACACCCGCTAGTCCGCCTTTGTCAGCCCTCCCAACGCCACAGCCTTTTCACGTTTTCCTCCAACGTATTTATTTCACATAAAACGTTA